TAAAATGATTAGACTTCGATGTGGAATTACCATTTCGCCCCTCACCCCCAAAGCTCGACTCGGGGCTTATAAATGGCGTCAGAATATGTTTTTTCGTAATTTCACTTCCCTCAATATCATTGTTGTCATCTTCCTCGTTAAATTCTTCTTTTTCTTCCCCTCCATTGTCTTCCACGTTGCTGCTATATCTCCGGTGAAAGAACGGCCCATCTGTAAGTCCGACCTGCCTGCAAGATTTGGATCGGAAAAGCCCACTCATCATTTTCACTCCCTTTTTCTTTTTTATTTTTAACCAACCCAGAAAACAATGAAGATCAAGAAAACAGAGAGAGAGAAAGCCAAGTGGAATACAAATTATGATAATAATGCCAGAGGGGTATTAATATTAGATTAAAAAAATTTTTTTTTTTTAAAAAAAAAAAGTGAATTGCGTTAGTTTGGTGATGAAGGGATGGAGAAAATTATGAAGCAGGTTAAAGAAATGGGGTTGCTTTAGGGTGGAGATTTTGGATATGGTGAGGTGGGATGGGGACATCTGGGCATTAAATTTGGTTGCTTTGTGTATACTTGGCTGTGTCTGTAAAAAAGGTCAAGCGGTCGACTCGTGACAGGATACAGAAGTTGAAGAAAGCTAGTTGACAAACAGGATACTATTGGAGTGTCCTACTCCTACTACACTCCTTTAGAAGCTGTTCCAATCTTTCCAAGTGTCCTGAAAATGTTATTGCAAGCAACACCATAAATCTATCAGCAAAGCTAGAATGTTCTGAGCTATTAGAATATGGATGGGAGGAGAAAACGATATAAGGATGTTCAAACTGGGATTGTTTTGAAAATTGAGGATCTGAAATTCCAGCACTCAATGTCAATGGCCTTAACTGATAAAATGTTTCAGGAACTTGACTAATTTAGCACACTGCAACAGCCTAAAACACATAAAGCACTTGAACTCACAAGCTAAGCAATCCCAATTAGGTCTTGGGTTCATCGCGAACCGAGGAATCTTCTTTCCCCATCCTTTCCTTTCTCCGTTTCTTTTTTCCTTTTTTTTTTTCTTTTTTTTACCTCCAGGTGAACTCAGGAGCTGGCTTCGTCCTAAGCGTAGGTGCCTAGGTTCCTCGCGAACCCAGGCTGTTGGGATCGCCTGGAGGTTAAAGGATAAAAAATTAAAAAAAAAAAAAAGGCCGGAGGAAGTGGAGTGTGACGTGTAGGGTGACGTAGAGGTTGTCATTAAGTCCACGTAAATATCTTTTACATGTTGGCATACTCACATCAGCTGTGCTAGTTAAGTTAACATGTCACGTGAGTAAAAATTAACGGAATGACTAATAAGGGTTCGAATTTTAAAATTTAGCGATAAAAAAAAAAAAAAAATTTCGGTACAGGAACTAAAAAAGAGCTTTTTCCTATAATAGAGAAATCAAAAAGGATATTTAACCCTTTTTTAATGCTAACACAATAGGCTATTTGGTGTATCTTAACATTTGAGTTAATTGTTATGGGCCTGGGAAGTGGGAACATTGGGACAAGCCCAT